ACAATACGTTCACTCTACAGAGGAAAATTAAGAAATTCTATGTTTTAGGGGGGGAAATGTAGAAAACACTGTTCCTACCACATATCAATTATATAAATTATTTAAGATGGGGACGCCACTATGTGCGTATTAATTCTAACCCAAATATAAGTGAAGGATGAGTTACGCGATCTGGCCGACATATTTATTTTATTTTATTAAATAAAATAAAACAAAATAAAATTAAAGAAAATAAATAAATAAAACCAATTCCTTAGACAGAGCTGTTTTTTAATAAAAATCATATAATACATAGCCTCCGCATCCCCAATTCATGCTGGTTTGTGAATTCGTTCGAATACACATAGGGTTACACGTTTGTACCGAATTCCATCAAAATCGGATCATTTTTACTCGAGCTCGCTTACCGGATATATATTTAGACTGATGTACATGAATTCAAACGGATGGTGTTTTGGCCTCTGGCGTCCTTAAAACGAAAAAGTAAATCGGTCCTGGTTCTAGGTCGTACCATGAGGCCTACGGTAGTGTCTTATCCTTGAAGGGATATTTGCTAAAACTATACTTTTTGGAGAACTATTGCTATTTTAACTAGTGTTTTTCCTTGACACTCTTCATAAATTTCACACGGAGGATCTAATCCAGTCTAAAGTAACTATAGACAATCCAATCCTGACACATTCAGTTACAGCAGCAGATCCTGTTGGCAATATAATCTTGTATTGACGTCTCCAGATCAGGTTACTGAGATAATACAATCTGTTTGATTCTCCCTTTGTTGAATCATCCCTTGCAAATACTTCCAGCTTCTCAGCAGAACTACTTTGTTTAGAAGTAACAATTTGTAATAAACTAAAAGTAAAATGTTTTGTACTCTAGATATTGTTTTGGTCTAACCTGCTTAGCTAGTGTTTTATTTACTTGTTGTCAATATTCCATTTGAAATAGGTGATCAACACTTTTTTTATGTTTTAAAAATAGTAATACTATAGAAAATAGTTATGTGTCAATTCATGAATCATTTAATATTGTCTTTAGAGCCTAAACAAGATGCATTCCGCATGCTGACGTTTAGGTAGGAAATTTAAAACTTAATAAGTTTAATTTTGTAGATGTTTGATGAAAAGAAATGTTAAACAATCTTTTTTTTTTACTACCTACAGAACATCCTTTATAAGGATTTGTATTCCATACCTCAAAATCCATCTGAACTACAAAATATGAAAATTTTAACCATATGTTTTGCAGTTAACAGGTATCTGCGATTCGAAGAAGGTACATTAAATACATTGAAAGGAATGTTTGTGCTATTTGATAGTGAAAACTAATAAGTCATTTATAAAAAGTCCAAAGGTGTTTAAAGTTTCAAATCCTAATAACGCACATATCCAAAATTTTCCGAAACCGAAAACCCATCAAAACATGACGGCAATTATAATAAATTATTTCATAGTAAGATATGAATGCATTTATCTCTGTTTCTTCAGCACAACTATCGTATAATCATCCAGTAATTTATTATATAAGGTAAGGAATATTAAAAATTGGTAATATGCTAATCAAAGTTGAATAAAGTGATTGAAAATTTACTTTTATGTAGGTCAGTTGCAAAAGAGCGATTTATAACCAACGGAACTGAGCCAATTTTGCTAAATTTCAAAAGGGAATTATAAAAACTTTCCTAAGGTTATTTTATCCTTCTACGTCATAAGCTTGAACCAAACGTCGATCTATAAACATTAATGTCCAGTCAAGCATACCAAGATCTACGCTTCAAGGGTTAGATGCAATGGAGTGCATTTACTATCGCCTATTGAAGTAAATTGGTCCATAAATATTATATTTGTTATGTACGCACCCGATGGAAACATTCTACAGTTTTGCAAATGTTTATAGATTCTTGTTCAGAAGTTTAGTTAACAGCTAAGTAAATTTTCTTAACTTCTCTTAATCATCGTCAATTAGGCTTAGCTTAAAGTTTTGACTTTTATTAAATAACTATGTTCACTCTATTTCCCAACGGAGGTAATTAATATCAAAATAGCTTTCAGTATTTTTTTCATTGGACTTAGCTTTCTGAAGATCTCCAAACTGCTAATTTAAAATAATAGCATTTTTTTCATATTGATTCAATAAACCGTTAGACAAATGCAAATTCCTGAAATGATTATTGTCTGAAAATATTTAAATTCATTACATTGTATTAAACGAAAAGAAAGATTTCAACCAGTTGATAATATCATTAATTGGATTCAGTTAGCTGCAGTGTAAAAAAAAATTCTGCCTTACTTATAAAAGCTGCATATCAAGAGGTTAATTAATTATTGTACATTAGTATCCTTGAATCGTATTTAGAATTCCAAGTTGTTCCAACATACGATAATGAACACCTGGACAGCATGAGATTCAGTGTTTACCTATGTATCTTTATACAATTAACATACATACTTTATACAAAGAAACTATACAAATAATTATAAAATCGTAAAGGTATTTTATTCTATTATTTAATAATAAAGAGCCCTTTCTTATCCGGGCTATTTTCTAAAAATCGATTTTACATATTGGCAACGATTTAAACTCATCTATATAATACTAATAGGCAAGCATGTTTGTTTAAAACCTTTTTTCTCAGCTCGTGTTCATTGCAGGGAAAATCTACGCCTTCTGTTGGAAAGATATTATCATATAGATGTGCAGAATACCTTTATAAATTAAAATATGCTAAAAAATAAGCACAACAAATTGATTTAAACTTTTAAAAATTAACATGGGCCTTATGGGTTGCCATAATGGTGACAAAATAATAACAAAATACAATATTGTATAAAAGTATTGTATAAATATACTGTATAAATAGACAATTTAAACAAATGGAAGAAATTCCACATACAGTATAAAATCCAACGTGAAAGTATTGCAAAACCACCATTTCTTTTATTTTATTTACATGAGTAAAAAAAAGTGTGGGGTGGAAATAGAAAATTCTGTACATTACATATTTTTAATCGAGTTTTAGACCATTGGACGACCTCTAGTATTAATAAAACTTCATAGTATTAATAACCTTCAGCCAGTAAAAACAATACAAAAAGCTGAGCTCAAGAATATTGGTTATCTGTTGACAACCTTTTAAAAAGCTTAATATCAAAAACTTAATGGTATTTTAAACAAACGATTTAACCTATCAAAAATCCTCTGAATTGCGTACTATATGCTTATATTTTGTTATATATATGTTTATCTTACATATTCAACCTTATTTTAGCAAGCATCAGTAAACTAGGTATTAAATAGTTTTACAAACAATATATATGTAGACTGTATAATATTTTATGAATCGCCACGTTATTAGCTTTACTCCCCCTGGTATACATGAGATGGTTTGAGGTTGAGTGTGATGACAAGTAATTTAAAATGTATGAGAAACTTGAGCCAAAAAGCCTATCTGCATTTTTCATCAGTTCTTTGAGGTTCTAACAGAGTCAAACTTGATTATATCTTGGTTTTTAATTTATGATTATGAGTTGGATACTAGGTCCAATTTTAAATCTTCTGAAAAAGGTACACCAATTAGATTTTTTTTATAATACATAATTTTAAAACTTTTTAGCAGTACGTGAATATACTGTATTTAAATCTTCATAGTACGTTAGGTCAAAGCATAATGCATTGATTGATTTGTCAGAATAATGAATTATGTTTCTAAGTGATCAATTCGAATCAACTTAACTGTCCATAAATGACATGATTGTGTCTTTATAATTTAAAATATATTTATCATTCTCGTGATCATTTTTAGCATACACATTTCTTTTAAATCTATATAAATAAAATTACAGTTTTGTCTGTACATTGCTCAGATTTATATATTTTTAATTAATTGTTAATTTTACGTTTAATACATTAAAGAAGCCGAAACAAGTCTAATCTCTATATCTGTCTGTCTGTCTGTCACGGCCCAAGAGGCATTTTATGCGGTCTTCTCCTGAAAAACGAGAGTACCTATCATGATCCAAATCATTTTAATGCATTCACTGGATTGGATAGAGTGTCTTTAGTCATTAAAATATGACCTCACCACCTTGTAAATAAAATAACGGACGTTTGAAAACCCAATTTTTTGCGATTTTTGTCAAGTTTTCTCCCAATACTTATCACATAATACTCATGAAATAACGAACAGCTGTTCGTATCAAGATTTTTTTTCTAGCTGTCACTGATATGTTTACATTAAATGTTGTTTACAAATACCGTAACCATTTTCGGTAACGTTTTGAAATTAAAACCAAAACCAAGTGAGATTAAAAACGTGTTTCCTTACATAATGGATTTCATTGATCGTAAGTGTAATTTTAAATTGACGTATATATCTGAAAGAAATATGAAACTATTATTTACAATCATGAGGAAGTAGAGCACGGTAGTCTGTTGTATTTGAAGAGTTTGTTAGATTAAGTGCTTCTTATTTCAAGAAAACAACCACTCACGAGCGACATTACTCTAAGCTAGCGGAAACAATTTTTATTGCAGCTGTCGTATGAATGTACTTTGAGTTTGAAAAGCAATCTACATGTCATCATCGTAAGTCTTAAAACTTCAAACGATTTTGAGGACATCATTAATAATGTTGATAATTCTGTCCTATACGACTTCGCTGTTTTATTCATAGTATATTGTCGCGAATAGCTACTTAGTAGGAAACACAGCGCATAGCTTTTGATCCTGGATTGTATGGGATTGAACTACAAACTCTTCACGAATCATACGAATAGAACTTTGAACTCTAACATGAAAATAAGTGTGTGTGGTTTGATTTATAACTACTCTATTTACATAGAAATTTTCCAATTCCGCTCATAAATGGTTTATCGTGGAATTTTCAAAGTTAAGAGTTTGATTATAGATTAGGGGAATCAAGGCCAGTAAGTTAAACGGATTAAAACAATAATTTTTTCCAGATTTTATCTGATTTTGGATGGGTGATCACCAATTACATGTGGGGGATGGAGGCCAGTATCTCACCTAAAGATTTTGTAAACGAGAGGTTTGTATCAATTAGAAAATGATGTTCATGAAGTATGCATTGTTTGGTTATTTAAAATGGTATTATATTCATAAGTGTAACAATAAGTTTTAAAACAATTGTCAAACAAATATTATGTATTTTTTAATAATTAAACTACATGTGTTGTACACTATTTTTCTAGTAAACTACCAATGCATTTTACAATATATCTTTTTCCGTTGTGCTGTTAAACCTACACTCTTGTAAAACGAAATTTACCTACCAGTTAAGTCAAAATAATGTTTGTCTGAAGCTATACAGAGGAAAAAAAAACTTATTGTCTGTTGTAGTTTTGACGAAGTCAATGGTTGCAGTAAGGACCACCAAAGCAAGTACATAGAGGTTCAAAAACACTCAAAAGACTGACGTTTAATAGTAATTTAATAGAAACAAGGAAATATGTAATTGGCTGAATCAGATGATACAAAAATGTACCTAGAACATTTCAAACACACTCTGTTGGCCAAAGAATAAATCTCGAGCAACCCATTTAAAACTTAAATCGTAACTTTAAAGAACTATTACATTATAAGGAAAGGCATTTAATTGACCTTAAAATAGCATTATACAGAACTTGCTCTTCTAGATAGCTCACAGAGAAATAATAAGTCAAATCGGTCAAGAGAACGTATTGACGTTTCTTGATTGGCGTTGTCAGTCCAACGTCACGAAGTACTTGTCACCATACTAAAATGTTATCAGCTGTTTTCGAACTTCATCATCGGAAGTACCAAAATCAGAATTTGGTCATTTAAAAGTTAACTTAAATATTTATTTTTCATGTTGCTGAAGAAAGTGGTCACTACACCGACCACCGAAACTACCGAAATTGTTTGTAAAAACTGAATATTTTTAATTTCCCCCGCTATATCTCTGACATCAAACACTATTTTAATCCTACAACTTTCCTAACTTAATTTCTCTGGTGTTAAATACTAAACCACTACTTTGTTTAAGAGATAATATTACCAAATTTAAGTGTTTGTTGTGTCAATCAACTGTTTGCATATCTATCACTGAAAAATTACTTGAGGACCAAACAATTCTCGGAGTAAAATATTGAAATAGTCTTAAAGCAAATTTGACAATCTATAGTAATTATTCGACCTACTACATTGTTCTTCATCCGTCCAACATAAGCAGGTGACAAAAAATTGCATTAAAGCTGTGTGTAGGATTTCACAAAATAATACAGGTTACTGAGGTTTTTTAAATAGGCTATTAGTAAACTCCTCCAAAAAATGACATAATAACCAACCTGATAAAATTAATAACAATCTAGAAATATAAAAGAGGATGTTGGTTTGTATATTTATATATTTGGCAGTGATAAACTTATTCATCGCTGGACCGATAGCCACGAAACTTAATACATACATGTAGAATTTCATGGAATAGGTGTATACACGATCAATTTCATGAGAGCTTAAAGGGCTTAGCCCTAGGATCGTGTTAAAGGTACTTATGTAAGAGATTAATGTAAGAGGATTTGTAAAGAATATTAGTTTGATAAATATACGTCTCCTTTTTTAGGTAATAAACTAGGTTTTGTCGTATTTTACTCTATTGTATCACAGAAACTATTATTTCTACCTCGAGGATGTCTGTTGTCTCTTGTATCAAACGACGTAGGATATTTGTGTACTGCAAGTAGCAGTTGCACTGTACCATGTAACTGCGATGTTCATCCACTCATGGCATTGAACAAACATCATTGAGAACCTTGTATATCAGGGTATGTCTGTATGCATTTCACCTTCATTTTCTGTGAATTTTATTACTTAAGTTTTCTAATCAGAGTCTCCTGTGTCTACTATTCTCAAGCCTTATATTAACTGCACAGGTTGTATTGCTAAAATAACAAAACATGATTAAGAATGGATTCGTAATAAAAACAATAATTTGAGTTATATTTGAATTAAAAATTTAAGTAGTGACATTAAATAATATTTACATTGTATAGTAATTAATTTAAATATGTTCATAATTAATATTATTATTAATTTGTCATTATTTTAGGATAATGTCCACCATACAAGAAGGCCACACACTAGACCAAGTAATCTCTTTAAGGAAATATGAGTGCGAACATCTGCCTTTCAAATCGGAAAATATCACCGGTAAGTAAACAAATATGACTCTTCAAATTGTGGATTTTTATGCCACTATGTGTATACAATGATTTTAACTCATAATTTACAATTTTTCAATCCAAAACTATACGGTACCTACTTTACTGGTATTATTTTTCAATAAAGTTATTGAACGTTTAAGGTACTCACAGGACTTCAACTGATTAAGATTGCTAGTCCTCCCTCCTTCATAATCAAAGACAAATATTTTACTGAAAAAATTTGAATTTTAGTTGTCTCTTTTTTAGTTGGTTCTTTAATCTCATTACTTATTTCTTTATTTTGAAGGGTATCCTTAAAAGTGTGTCAACAATGAGAATTTCATAAGAGCTTAGAATTTCAATTTTCTTTAAAATCATTTAAGTACCCTTACTGTATATCTTTTACCTTAAAATTGGTTATAAGTATTCCTCTTCCAAATACAGCACCATCCACCATATACAGCAAAATCTAAGATTCAAAACGTAATTACCAATTTTAAATTGAATAATTTTTTAGAACAGTCTTGTTAAATTGATTTAATGGCTGTTTATGAAAACTCGTACCTTAAATTTTCGAAGAGTGTCGTTAACACTATTTACGCGAGTTGCGTACACTACTTTACCTACGACAGTGTTTTAATTACTAAAAACCGCTACTCATAACATCTAAGAGAGGTTATGTTTTCGTTTATAACCTCTAATTGCCACTGACAGTGATGCAACGAAACATAATTGCACCACTCAACAATTAAATTGGCCTGAACAGCTGATTAGTTGAAGTTCATTAATATTAACATTTTATTTCTCTCTCAACCCTTGAACCTCATTGGTCCGTTTGTTGTTATGAGTAAAACTATGCTGACATAAGTGAAACCTTTCAATTCTTAGAGGTTTATGAAAATTAATCAGTTTGAAATCAAGTAATATTTTCCAGGCACGATGTGTCCTCGAGAGTTTGATGGCTGGACATGTGTTAATGCTACTCCTGCAGGCTCCGTCGCGTACTTCCCTTGTCCTTTTTTCATCCTTGGGTTTGACCCTAAAAGTAAGGAATTTTCCAATAGTAAGCAGCATGCTAGATCTTATGAGAAAGGGAGGTCTGTAAACAGAAATAAGCCATATTACCTTAAATACCTATGATTTATAGACATGGTGGAATAGAAACCAAGTTGCAGCTTCAATACGTTGAAAGTATTTTTAATATTAAGTGTTTAGGAATATTATTTGTTATTTGGTGAATCAAAGATTTAAGTACTATTACGTTTGGCCACTTGTTATACGTACTCTATTCCATGTTTATTTTAACGATCAAAATTATTAATTCATTCATTTTAATTATTTTATCTTAAGTCAGGTTTTATTATTGTCATTGAAGTAAATTGCTGCATTCACTAATTGGCCTTCTAGAATACGTTTCCTTTTAGGAAAGTTCGCGTATTCTTACAGAAGCCATGTGTCGTTCGTTATTTAAATAGGTTCATCCAAATTAAATGAATAGACAAAACACGTCTTCTTCTGTTAGTGAAAAAATGGAAAATTTGAAACAACTATTTTCTGCACATTCTAATCTAAGATGGATGGAAAATACATACTTAACAGAATTTATTGATTAACAAGTTATCGTAGGATTTATTGTCCTAACGGATAAGACGAAGACAATTTTAGAGTATATCTCCGACTAATATTTCACAAATATTGTTGAACTTAATAATGTATTCCACGATACTATTTTTTTTATCCTAGGACGCTAGGCACGAGTCCAGAATTCTTTTTCACATTACTTCAGGCTAGACCTAGGGGTTGGTGATTTGGCAGGATTTGAACCCGGGACCTCTGGAACCGAAGTCCCGCCCTCTAACCACTAGCATTCCACGATAAAATATACGAGAGGAAACTAAAATGTATCCTATACGAAATCACTCAAGGGTAAAGACGATAAAAAAATGGCTTCAGATTTTACAATAAAACGTAAATTTCCTTTAAAATATGAAAATCAATTATTTTCCTTGCGCATTCTAGCGATACATTTTATTCTAAGACTAATTTTAAAATTACCGATGAAACACTTGGCCCATTTGACCAAGAGAACAAAAGAATTATTTTAGCAGATATATGTAAAAAATACACGAATAGATGAGAAATATGTGAGACAAAAATATCTTGTGACATGTCCTGTTTTAGCTTAACCGTATTACGAAACTTAAATTGCAAAATTATGCTCAGCTATTAACTTCTTCAAAGATAAACTTGCAAGAAACCTCAAGCAGTCAAAGCGTTTCTCTTTAAGTTAATCCTTTCTTCAGAAACTTTCTTAGCACTTAGAGTGGAGATTAAATTGTTTAGGAAGATGCAACAGTTTGGATTCTCGGAAAGTGTTAAAGTACCGAGCCTGTTCGCCACCTAAAACAATATGAACTCCTTAAATGTTTCACTTATCAGGTATAAATTTAAATTAAAAGAGGCGTCCATGTATAGATACAGGAATAAATTGAAAAAAATGACAGTTTTGTTTACGTTTCTTACACTATAAACATTATGTGCGATTCTACTTACCAACATATGGTATGTTAACTCAAAAGCTGATTATGACAATACAAAATATGGATAACAAACCTAGTCCTTCCTCAGTGTTTACAAGACGACAATGGGGTTTGTAAGTCTAGGGTTCTACGTATTAGGCTAATAGTCAAAGGTTCTACCATCTATGAAAATTCCTGAACTCATTTTAAAAATTATGTCAACAAAATTACAGAAAATTAAAAATAAAAATAATTTCTTGAATTACACGTGATGCTGAAGCTTGTGAACTGCAGTTATACTGATGATAATGTAAAGATAAAGACGAATGTTAGTTTTTTATTATGTACAACTCAATGGAGTCATTACTGTACTCAAGTATGTGTTGTGGACGAAGTTAAGCTCGAGCGAAAACATAACATGAATAATTTGGTTTTTAAGGATTTGTCTACTGTTTAAAATACCTACTTTAACTGCACCTGCAGGGTACGGTCAGCGGGTCTGTATGGAGGACGGCTCATGGTTCACTCACCCAGAGAGCAACAAAACCTGGTCAAACTACACAACCTGTGTCGATATGGAAGATCTGCAAGTAAGTGTCAAACTATCGTTAATTCTTTTTTTTCCACCACTGCATGGAAATCCCACTGCTACATCTGTAAACAGTACGCAAAATAGCAAATTTCCGCTATAGACCGGGAATGACTATTGCCGCTGGCTTAATCAGTTGATTTCATGGTTGGCGTTTCTATAAAACACCAACAACACTAACACTTAGTGTTCTTAAAACACAGATAGCAATTCATTGTTTAGTTCAATAAAAATTGATAATTTATGAATTTTAACACACAAAATCAGAACGAATAAAAAAATAGTTTATTTTGCATATCATTTGTATTTAAGGCAGTGCAGGGTATTCTATTTTTATCTATACATGCATACTGTCTTTCACTCTAACCACTATGCTAGCACACTTTAACTAAGAAAAAAAAACTTAGACTTAAAATAAAATTGGTTTACTAATGTATTACCTATTACTTATCTCAATTTTCCTTCATCACAGCTTAACATTAAAGTAATAAAATAACAAAAAAATCATATGCAACGCTAAAATTATATAGCATTGACTATGGACATTAGCTAATAATAACTCATTTCATAATGCGTACCTTATTTCTTAACGACCATGTCGCTCCCTAGAAACATACCAGTATAAATGTATTTGTTTTTATACAAATATACATAAAGTCTTGAGAGGTAAATGATAATGAGGTGTCTGGCTAGGATGGCTTTTCTTATGAGTAAACAAAAGAGGGCTCTAAAAGTATCTTTTGGTGTTTTACAACGATATTTTATGACGAGCAACATTTTACGGTTGAAACATTATCTCAAAAGCCTTTAAAGTTACTTATTTTAATGGCCTCCCTAATCACTCTGTATTTTCAGCTACGAACGCAGGTCAATTTAATTTACAAGACGGGATATACAGTGTCCTTGGCAGCGCTCATCATTTCGATCGTCATATTCTTTTACTTCAAGTAAGTATTTGACAGTTTGAATTCTTTTAGAAAATGTTAACCAACGCTGTAAACAACTACTAATAACGATGTAAATAACTACTTAACGGTATAAGTTGTTTACATCGTTGATGTAAACTGTGTGTTATTTATACAAATGGGTACCCAACGTAATCAAAATTTTAAGACGATTAATAATTATTACTAATACAAATACAGCTGTTGTACAGATCTTTGAGGAGATGCTGTATTACTTAGGCTAATATAGAGACAGCTCTCCTCATTTAATTTATATGCAATTTTTTCAACTATTGCACGTAATGCTTAATGTTGATAGTGAGCTATAAGGTCAAGGAATTTTATGACAATAAATTGCTAATGGTTATTGGTAGGAACTGAGCCTCATCCACCAAGACTCCAAAACCGTAGTTTCGTACTCAAACTGATAATAGTCAGCTCTGTGTCAGGTTTATATTACATTATATATTTACAAACGTAAATAAATCAGTAATGGAATGACCGTAAATCAATGTTTTACAAACGTATATAATGGTTTTTAAAGTAGCCGTTTTAGTTCAGTTCTTGGAAATGAAACGTTTCCCATAACATCATTGTTTACTTTCGTAACAGCTAACAGCTTAGTTTTACTCATACTGTAACAACACGGATAACGGACCAATGAAATTCAAGGATTGAGAGAGAAGAAGTAACATTGTAATGATTCGAACTTCAACTAATCAGCTGTTCAGACCATTTTAATTGTTAAGTGGTGAAATTAGTGTTTGGAACAATGTTACGTTGCATCACTGTCAGTGGCAATGAGAGGTTATAAACGAACTCATAACCTCTCTTAGAAGTTATGAGCAGTGATTTTTAGTAATTAAAACACGTCGTAGGTAAAGTAGTGTACTCAACTCGCGTAAATAGTGTTAAAGAAACGAGTGGAACATTTATGGTATGAGCTTTTTTCGTCGCGTAGACTATTATCATAGATTAAACATTCTCCCTTAGGGAGTATGTTTATTCTATGCTATTATTATACTTGTTTTGTAACAAAATTGCTACTACAGTGGTTGCTCTAAAATAAGAATCATTTCCGTATTGTTGTCAACCTCATTCTCTAAGCTGTCTGCCAAAGGTAAAAAGAAAATGTCTACTTTTTAATTCAAAACCACACCAAACTATTATTGTTAATTCGTGCATTCCAGATCGTTGACTTGTACGAGGATACAGATTCACAAGAACCTGTTCATATCCCTCGCTCTCAACAACTGTTTGTGGCTGGTTTGGTACGAAGCTGTTGTGGATAATCTACCTGTCCTAATGGAGAACAGGGTAAGTAAACTGATCGAATAAATACGAAAAAGGCCAAATGTTTTTTTATAACTTACCATTAGGAAACCCCAACTAGATATACCAGAATTAATATATTTCTTAGTAAATAAATTTATAAGCAAAAATGCCTGTATTCAAGAGCTTTTTCCTTGTTTCTTTGAAGTTACTCAACTCTGAAAAAAACAATACAATATTTGCAAACTATCCAATAACAATTAGAAAACTGTCACAGTACTATAGGATTGACGTGCATTTAAATTTATTTTCTAAAGACAAGACACAAATCCTTTGTAGGTCTAGGGAAGATCGTTGAAAAACTCACAAGTGTTTTATCACCTCTTAACAGTTTATTACTTTATTACTTATACTTCCATGAATTTTATACAAATACTTCCATGAACTTATTCCCACCATCATAGATGTTTTTTAACGCCAAGTTGAGAAATCCTTCAATAATGAGCCCATATTGGTTGCCAGCTAGAATGTCAGATTCTTCACATCCTAGTGCAGTACTTCCTAGTAGCTACGTATTTCTGGATGTTCTGCGAGGGACTGTACCTCCACACGCTGCTGGTTGTCACCTTCGTCACAGAGACCAAGGTGATGCCCTTCCTCTACCCCATCGGGTGGGGGGTTCCTGCCCTGCTAGTAGCGCTATACGCTGTGCTCCGGTCCTCCAGGAGGGAGGAGAAACTGCAGTGAGTATTGGCATTCATTGGTTCATTTTGTTAACTTGGATGGTTTATTCCAAGCACCTCAAGTTTGGAATATTTTGTACGGGGAACTTCTCAAGTACAGTAATATTAAGAGAACTGGAAAACATTTAAATCAATCAACGCGGGAAGAGACAGGTTACGTCAACTTTGCAGTGAAGTTGGAGAATTTGTTTTCAAAGAATAGCTAAATAAACTTTTCATTCAGATTATTCTGCAATAGGAACTCCTCTTGTAGTTTTTAAGATTAATTCAAAAATATTACTGCCAAATAATCAACGTAATCCTCATGAAATTATCATATAAGGTAAACGCACCAGTAGCTGACAGTATAAGAAACTATACGCACTTAATAATCCGTGGTTTTGAATAAATAGGAACTAAAGAGATATTACGGATTTTATGTGATTCTAAATTTAGTGTAGTTTTCAAATTTGTCATACAAAAAGGGGTTTTTAAATATATTTTATAACATTTTTAAACTTAATTCAACCTTTGTACGTGTTCCAGTGGCTGACAGTGAAAAAAGTGCTTGTACCAGTAGCTGACTGTCAGTTGTCCCAGTAGCTGACACTGGAACTTAAATGTACTAGCTGCTAAACCTAAAGGTTTTATAATTTATTAGACGAATAAAATCTAACTTAATAATTAAATTATAAAATCACATAAAACGTTATTAAGAAAATTTATTTTACATATTTTAAAATAAATGATATTTACATTAAAATATATATACAGGGTGACAAAAAAGTCTGGAAACGGCTTGATATCTTTTTAACTAAATTCGTTTGAAAATTCAAACTTTTCACATCAACTTATATGTATGATAACTACTTTTTGCAAGCATTACCATTTTTTGACCTCTACCAGGGGACGACCCATGAGGAGTAGGTACATAATCTTTAATATAAGCATAGGTTGATATGCACATAATTTTAAAGGTCTGGTCCAGTGGAGTTCATTGCCGGAAACCGCGTCAAAAAAAGGTTCATCCGTTACAAAATGGCGGCTGTCCAAATTTCTTGCGGAATATACCTGCAGAGGCCTTAGTATTGGTAAATACTCATATTCAACATTAGCCGGGAAATCTGAAACTCGGTTAAATTTGTTTTGAAGATTTTATAATATTAATCTATGAGCTATATGACTTTAAAATACAGTTTCAGCTCTCAAGCTAATGTTTAATACGAGTATTTACCAATACTAAGGCCTGTGCGGGTATATTCCACAAGAACTTTGGACAGCCGCCATTTTGTAACGGATGAACCTTTTTTGACGCAGTTTCCGGCAATGAACTCCACTTGACCAGACCTTTAAAATGATGTGCATATCAACATATGCTTACATTAAAGATTATGTACCTACTCCTCGTGGGCCGTCCCCTGGTAGAGGTAAAAAAATGATAATGCTTGGAAAAAGTAGTTTTCATACATGTAAGTTGATGTGAAAGGTTTGAATTTTCTAACGGATTTATTTAAAAAGATATTAAACCGTTTCCAGACTTGTTTGTTACCCTGTATATATTTTATATATATTTTTAAAAAATATACATTTTTTAAGATAATTTGGCTTATAAATTAAAAAATTAAAATCGTTTTATAAAAATGTGAGATCACATAAATTATAAATAGCATGCAAATTTCGATGGGTGAAACCAATTTAATATTGTGCAAGTAGCAAATATCCCCTGTCAGCTAGTGGAACTTGTATGGCTTTTGTGTACCAAAGCCTGACATTGATATAATTTTAAATCCAAAACCCCTAACGCCCCAATTTTTTCATGAAATTGTCAACAAAGGTATAATTGATAAAAATAATGAGCCTAATCATTAATACTATTTAAGAAATTTAGCGAAATGACAAAAAACCAAACTAACTTTCTTAACAATTTCATTAAGGGAATCGACTAAATGTGATGTGTACGGACAGGGTCGCTTTCAAACCACCACCATTCCGCAAGTATGGGCTAAATTTAAATGATTTTTTTGTAAACAAATCAAGAATAAACATATGTTCTTCTAACAATGCAATCATGTGTAAATATTTTTAAGAGGCCACATTATAATGTTAAGAAACTCAAACTGTCAGCTTCTGGAGCACTGTCAGCTACTGGTGCATTTACCTTACAGTGTGTTTAGAGACTTTATTTTACGATATAAGCAAGGTAAATCTGTGTATATATTTTTTTTAAATTTAAGTAAGGCAATAGTTTATTTGTATCTTTTAGAAGCAATTGAGGTAAAAAGCGCGCTAAGGCTGTTCCAATCCTATCACTTTCTAATTGGGTCTGATGAAGATTGGTAAAAAATATACCTATAAGTAAGTAACACACAAAGTAATACACAGTCATATCTTACAATACATTTAAACATGACGTATCCTATACAGTTATGTTAACTAATAAAACCATTCGTTATATTGATACACACTAATCACTTAGTTAGGACTTTGCAGACATTCATATTTCTACAGTAAACGAATTCGAAATAACTCAAACATTTTTATAACATAAATCAACCACGAATATTTTGTTAGTTTATTTGCATATTATAAGGTTTCGTCAAAGAAAAATAACCATCCTTTCCTTTTATGATATACATTGAAAATTTATTTCGTTGTTTTTTTAGTATTTAACTTTTATTTCCACGAGTTTATATTCCATGAAAGATACTTCTGGGAGAATATTTCCTTAGGATCTGGTGCAATAGAGAATCATTTGAAAGTCAAATGCCTGCAATCCTCGGATCGCTGTGAAGATCTGATTCAGGAGAAAATATGTAAACACGTACACAGCTTGGTGTAAGAAATTTATGAATGTATTTGAACCACAGACATGTTCAATAAACTACGTATTAAATCCTTGCTATCATTAAAGTTATATTAGGCAGCCTAATTACATGATAATATATGATATTGGTGATGAAATACATGATAATACATCTGCATACAAAGTTGAATTAGTGGTCTTATAAATTTTAATTGCAAAACCAAAATAGTATATTTCATCACTAGGGCGTAAAGTCAGTCTTTTCGACCCGAGCTCAAGTTTCACATTTGAATTGAAGCTTAGGTCATAAAATTAGATTGGGTTGAAATATTATATTTCGTACCTAGTGCCGAAAATGAGGTTTTGTCGGCTTGAGATCATTTTTAATTTCGAAACGAAGTCGAGAGCTTAAAACGATCGAGAGCTGCCAAACCGTATCGGCCTGTGCTACTTTCACAACACGACCAAAACTTTAGAAAATATATACAACAAATGAAAACTAACAGTCAATATAGGTAGATTAAATTAATACTAATTTTATGCCTCGATTTATAAAAGGTTTTCCACTTGTTCTAGTTGTTGGATCCACGAGTCGCTCTATTCTTGGACGTTGTCTGGACCTGTGTGTGTCTCGATGTTGGCCAACCTGGTGTTCCTGATCAACATTGTCAGACTGTTGCTCACCAAACTACACACTGGTCTCAACAGTCCCAAACACTCGCAGTCGTTCAGGGAGTCACTAAAACACGCCTCCTTCAGGTCTAGAAGGTAACTTTTGAAACTCTCACAATGTTTGATAGTTAATACCTTAGGGATTTGTTGACTGTGTTACATATGGTTACGGTCTACAAATGTATTCCCTTTGGATTCTGCTAATAAAATAGTTTATTTGACATAAAAATTTACATTACAACAAGATATCCTTTCAGTTGGACTTGAAAAAGAAGTTGGCGTAATTCAACAATTAGCAATTTACATCAGCGAGTTCCATCGGTGGCTCAAATTCTTCCTAAGACTGGTTTGCCTTTAAATTGTTATTTGATATCTGATGATATTCATGGTCAAATGTATATTTATGGAAGTTGAACTGTTGAATTGAGCTTTTTGGTTTATCAGGACGATTGATAAAAATCCCAATCATTATGAGAGACAAAATATTTATAATGGTTTGAAACTGGACCCAGTTGTCTTATATCATCTATAATATTAAAACGTGACAGGGTTTTTTATTTAACGATTCTGAATCAATCACTTGACGGATTTTCATGATTTTTGTGTTGAAAGAAAGATAGTTTTGAGAACTAGGGAATGTCGAAGCCATCATTTTAGTTTAGGGTCCCAGTTTTTAAGAAATTAAGTTATATTTTTTTTAAATCTAGCAGCCGACGCTAACATTTTAAACTAGCTTTTGGTATGATATAATTTGCTTAACATAACAGCTGTAAACATTCAGAGTTTGTGACACAAATTCAGCATTTGGGTAGAATGAAAAGACATACTAATGGTTGACTTATTTATACTATGTGTAATGCTGATCATTGATACGTTAAATTCTTCGGTAAGAGGATGACATATTAATTAAATATAGGCCTACATAGTAAAATACTAGCTTGTTCAAATTATTTTGTAAAGCAGTCTTTGATTTGTTTCAGTGCAATATAATTTGCTTTAACTAACAGCTGGTTAAATATAAAAAATATTCTGTGGAACTATTATGTTATTTTATTCACTCTGACTTTGCCATTGATTATAGGAAAGTAAGATTAGTAGATATAATTAGACCACATAGATAAGTAAAACCATTGCTGTGTACAAATCGAGGCTGTTGTCTCACTCATTCATACAACACTCGTCTTTGCCCTAAAATTCGCAACCAGATGTGACTAAAATCTTATCCAACCTAAGTTAATATCAAGGACAGCTGGGTTCAGTTTTGTTGACCCACAGTTTTATTCCTGTAGAAAAGCCTCGTCCACCAGTCAGACGGCGGCTCACCCCACGGGCAGGACCAAGAAGGCAGTCCGAGCTACCCTCATCCTCATCCCCCTGCTGGGTCTGCAGTACATCGTCATGCCCTTCCGTCCAGAACAAGGGGACTCGTGGGAGGCCGTCTACCAGATCGCCTCTGCGGTCATAGCGTCGTGTCAGGCAAGTTTTTCAGAGGACTCAAAGTTAATTCTACAAAGACAAATTATTTCTCAGAGGAAAAATAAATTTAAATATTTCTTGAAATTTGGATACTGCGAGTAGTCTTCTCATCCTATAATCTTAAGCCTGTTCTGGGTTAGATTATGTCATGCTGCTTGAGTATCTCTAATGGGTTTTCCCTTATTTCAGGTCGAATTTTACAAAGAGTGTTTTTAAGCTTTTACCTAATTCATACAACACTCTTATCGAATACTCTTACTATAGAGTATGGTTGAATTATTTTTTTTAGGTGATTGTTACGTAATTCCATATAGTTATCAGTTTCAAAATTAAAAACGTTTGCTGTAACCCAAAATCAATAGTTACAATTTATATTACTGTATGTTTAAAACTTCAATTAATTTATAATCCTGGAAAGGAGTGAGTCCTTTGGGTATAGGAAAACTCGGAAAATTTCTAATGAAGTTCACCGTGTGTTCTTTGGCTAGAGTGGGGCTCCGGGCTGGGGTCTGAAGAGTATGAAACTTTTTATTGGGTATAGTCTATGGGTCTTAACCCATTGTACAGTTGCTACATACTGGCTAGCGTTAACACATTGTTCTTGATATAATGAGAAAAAAACTTACATCAAGCATTGCTAGGCTGATAATTTTCGATTATTATTAGTCTATATAAAAGGTTAGAAAATATTTTCAGATGTGGCAAAACATAAAATGTACGTATTACTAAATCATATCTTTAAGTACCACACAGAATTACCCAGGTTTTGGGGGGTATGTAAAGCCCTCCATTGGAAAAGATGGATAGCCCCTTATAAAATTACTAAAGCGGTTGTAAAAAACTTCATCAGTATTTTGAATTAGCTATAGGTAAATTATATTACTCACTCATAAACAAAAAAAGTTCAAGCCTAAGAAATCTTGGGTCTTCAAGTTGCATATAAAATGCTGCAAATTAAAATGTTGAGTGGCTATTTGGAATATTATAGATATCCAAGATTTATTTATGCGTCTCTTGGCAAAAAGTATATTCAAGGTATTAGGGGACTGTTTAGAAATTGACCATTTAAAAATTAATAAATATTCCTGGCTTTGGTAATGGGTTCAGCAATTCAAAACTTAACGATTGAAAAAACCTAGTGAAAACCACTTTTTTAATTTTCAAAATATGTAAATTTATCAAATGGTCGAATAAAAAGAGTCAAATTAAATATCCACATCAAATTAAAATAAATTACAAGATTTGGTTTACGTTGAGGTGGATAATTTTTACAATATCAACCAATCGTTGTTTTCGAGAGAGAGAGAGAGAGAGAGAGAGAGAGAGAGAGAGAGAGAGAGAGAGAGAGAGAGAGAGAGAGAGAGAGAGAGAGAGAGAGTTCTATTATCTGGTCACTTATGCGGCTATACGCTCGTCCTGAAGTATACTTGTGGGGCTATTGGTCCTCGTGGGGATATCCCCATAAGGACCAGGTCTTTTTTTTGGCTGGAATGGATTATTCGTTCAAAATAATGCGTAAATTGCCCACTTTCAGCGCAAAACGAAAATATCCCCACATGGCACCTTATGATCCTTACACTTAGTTCGCTTTTGCGGCCACCAGAGCTGCGCTGATGCCGGTTTTCTCTCTCCGAAAAGAGAGTAAAGCTTTGGTCCTTATGGGGATACGAGGCCTGATTGGTCCTTTTTGAATTTAGAGAGAGAACTGTACCTCATGATCAACTGTGGGGATATAAGAGAATATCTGCGGTCCCTATGAGGATGTCAATTCTGATTGGTTCGTTTAAATTTTAGAGAGAGAATTTTACCAAATGGTACATTGTGGGGATGGTTTGTGTCTTCAGTGATAGACATGACACTCTTTGAGGAGCACGAGGTTGTAATTTTGTACAGTTATTGTTCTCTGAGTCCGTTGTGCTGCTGCTGAACAGACATCATGAAGCGTGGCGTGGCGTAAAAATCCAAATTTTTACGCATAATTACTATTTTATTAAACCTTTTATAAAACTGAAAAACTGAATGGATAGTATATTTCTGTCCCTTAAAATCATTATTGGTATATACTTAGAGTTTAAAGAATAACGTCCAATCTATCTAAAATCCATATAAAAGATTCGAGTTTTGTCTGTACATTGCACATAATAATATATTTTTAGGTTGTTTTTAAGTTTTATACATTATGAAATGAAAAACTAAATAAAAAACTTTTATTTATCCCAAGAATAATAAACTAAAACAGAGAGTAGCTATACAACATTAGAGTACAACATTTTTAAGATAAAATTTGCCTTACTTTGCCTAAATTTGACTAATGGGCAGGTGCCTGTGCGTAAGCCTGGCTGTTATCAGTCTAAAGAAATTGAGGGAACACACTAAAATTTGGAAGATTAAAGAAGCAGAAACGAGTCTTATCTCTTTATTTCTGTCCGTCTGTCTGTCTGTCTGTCTGCTGTCCGTCTGTAACACTCAAGATGGCATTTTACGCTATCTTTTCCAGGAAAACGAGAGTACCTATCAAGATCCAAGTCATTTTAATGTATTCACTGGATTGGCGAGAGTATTTTTAGTCATTAATATATGGCCTCACTACTTTGTAAATACAATTACTGACGTTCAAAAATGCAGTTTTGTGCGATTTTTGTTAAGTTTTCGTCCAATTTTTATCACATAATCATCTATGAAATAACGAACAGCTGTTCGGATCAAGGTAATTTTTTCTAGGTGTCACTAATATGTTTACAAATGTTGTTTACAAATACCGTAACCATTTTCGATTACATTTTAAAAGCAAATCCCAACCAAGTGAGATTAAAAACGTTTTTCTTGCATATCGGATTTAATTAATCGCAAGTGCAATAAAATAGTGTAACCACTTAAATGAAATTAAATAACTAGGCATCATCCAGGTCAGGAACCAGAGATTAGTTGTGTATAAGATTGTTCTTGAGTTTTGATAACCAGAAAGAAGACCTTGAATCAGTTTTGTATACGGCTGGGAAACTTAAATTTATTAATGATCGACACCAATAAATTAGAAACAAGGTTTCCACTCATTGACGGCGCTTCAATAAGTGTAAAGTAAAAAATCACAACTGCAGTTGGTGATTGTAACTGAGGTTTACGGATGATGCTAAACTCGATTTTTTAATGTGTCACTTTTTGTTCCTATACCATTGACTTTAATAGTCAATAGTTCATACTCACCGTGTGATGCAATCGCTGGACCATACAGCCAATAGGCCCATAGCCCATCCTTTGGGTACGTACGCCTACCCAATTATTCATAACAAACTTTTTGACGACAATCCGTGATAACCGGTACTTTTCCCTAGAATACACGGCCTACCTCCTACCTACTTAAGAAATAAAATTACAAACGTCCAAAAACCCAACGTTGTGTGATTTTTGTCACGTTTCCTTCTATACCAATCATTGTTTATAGAATACGTAATCTATTAAATGACAAAAAGTTGTTTGTATAAGGTTGTTTTTTTTTTCAAACTGACACTGATAAGTTTACATTAAAAGTTGTTTACAAATAAAGCAATTAATGTGAAATAACATTGATTGCCGATAACTTTTTACGAGAAAATCCAAAACCAATAAGAGATCAATAAACTTGATTAACGCATATAATTGGTCTATTTACTTTAATTTTTTTTGCTGTAAACGTTAGTTTTTGGTTCTGGTTCTTTTGCCTTAGACGAGTTGGTAGCTGAATTATGCAAATATTTGTTATGCAGATATCTGAAACTATGCAAACCAACTGCTGTTCTTAAGGTTTCAACTGACTAAGATAAGATCCCCGTACGTAGAACGGACACAAAGCTAGTAAAACATAAACGGAGCAATGTTTTTAGTTTTAAAAGTATTTGAACTCCATTGAATCTCCAACACAACACCATTTTACAAGCTACATTTTACGTTGGGACAAGAGTTTTATATGTATGGTATTTTTTGCCACAAGCACGAGGCCTCTTTCAGGCCTCGATCAGTCGTAGCCTATTGTAGTAAACAAAAACCAGCATTAAATTACTTCTAATGCTATTCTTATGGAGAACAATTTACTTCATATGTAATTTTGTGTTAAAATTTTGGGAATTTCACTATTTTTTCCGCCGTCTCGGTATTGTGACCTTTCCCTTTAATTTGAGCCCTCTCCCGTCATTCTAGGACTTCTCAGTCGCCTACAATTTTGACGCAAATAATCGGCTTACGTAGTAATAGCTATTTACATTACAAGTGTAGTAAGAGCGTTTTTACATCACGCAGGTGTATGTTGTGCAACGAGCGAAGGCGAGTTGCATAATTCACCGAAGTGATGTAAACACGCTCTTGCGTAACTTGTAACGTACAAAATTTTACCTGACCCGACAATATTAAGGAGGTTACGAGCAATATACTTCATTATCAATTTCACTCATCTTCTAACAGTAACGTCCATTTACAAACAAAAGCTAGGTTAGGAAAATTCTTCAACGCATAACAATAAAATTCAAACACACAGCTGATTTCTAGCGTTGAACGTCGTTGGCTCCATGGAGGTATATTTTTTAAGTTATCCACTCAATCTATATAATTAATACGCTACATGAAACTTTGTCGGTTGAACTCCTCCGCCATTTCTTAACCGATTTTATCCATTGACGTCTCATTGGAAAGAGCGTGTCGCGTAGATTTGCAAACTGGCCTTACATTACCGGTTTGGAACGGTAATATTTGGATTTTGGAGCAACATGTACACTAGTGTTATTTAAATGGGTTTCATTACATCACCGAGTGAGTTTTTTTTCAACTTTACATCACTCGAGAAGTAAGGAAGTTGTATACATCACGCTTGGGATAGGGAAGTTTAACATGGCGGGTTAGGTAAATATATTGACTAGAGCATTTTTCAATAGGCACAACCATTGTAATGTTGATATTTATTTAACGTCATATTTTTGTTATTTTCGTTATCAAATTTGTTATGTAATGTACACTGCAATCGGAGTGTCGTT